TGGAAAGTAATTTCACTGTTAATAGTCAAGCAAGTAACTTAAACTCCATTAGCCCCATTTTTGCAAGTTTCCTCCTGGTCCTTATGGTGAGTTGCTCGTGCCTACCCCACAATCACCAAATCTTCAGAAATTCTTCCCTCTGTCAGGACGCCACTCACACACTCCATTCACAAGTCAGGGCCCCCAGTCTTCTCACTCCAATCGGTAGCCTTCATCTTGAGATGCTAGATTCAACCATGTTCATCTGGACCCCTTGAGCCCTCGAACGGTTTTGTCTATCTCCTCACTTACATCGACCGTTTCACCCGTTGGCCGGAAGCAATTTCGATTCCCAACGTCGACGCCGCCACCAGTGTTATTGCTTTTGTTGAACAGTAGGTTGCTCACTTTGTTTGCCCCGCAATCATTAATACCGACCACGGGCCCCAGTTTGAATATTGAATATTCAATATTTTGATCGCGTGTCTTGGTTCTCGTCATGTTGGAACCACCACCTTTCACCCTGCGGAAAATGGTTTGGTTGAGAGCCCCTCCGTCAGCTCAAAGCGGCTCAATCCACACGCTCCCCACTACCGTCGGATGAAAGTCTACCCACGGTTCTTCTTCGAATTTGGAGTTCCCTCAAAGTGGCCACTTCACAAGCACTGATGATGTCACCTCGGCTGGTGCTGAAACGTTTGCAAAAAATTGCCAAGCTCGGCGAACAGACGAAATGAAATTCAGTTCATTCGAGCTACGAGAGTCAATTTTCAACATTAATTCTTTTTGTGATTCTTCCCCCTTACCTTCCTGTGAACTTCCTGCAACTTTACTCCTTTCCTCTTCTGTTCCTCCTCCCGCAACAGCACTCCCAGCGAACTCAAACTTACGCTCTGTCCTACGCACTAGCAGCTCCACTAGGTCAGGTTGTATATTTCGTCTTCCCTCTAAATACACTGAATAGTGACTAGTGCGACCAGACGATTCATTCATGTTTTCTATTAAACCTTCACCTTTCTGAAATATTTTAAGACCTCAAGAAAACCACAGAGCCCCTGAAAACTAAAAAAAATTATTAAACTGAACACCAAAATTGCGTTTATCCTTTATTGTGTTCCGCTCATTTGAAGCATCTGTTTCATGTATTTTGTGCCATTTGTTCTCACGAGTCCGGTAGTTTCCGGAGCACAGCATGGTGCTATGAAGATTAACCACGTGGAGATTCTTTCCAATGAAATACACTGAACATGGACTAGTTCACTTGACAAATGCTACGAATAGTTTTTCAGAATATTAATACAGACCGCTCTTTTTATCGCACTCACGTAACCTAAAGCGAGGACGAAAAGTGGAGCCTCCTAGTATGCCATGCGCTACTGGCACCTTACTCAAGGGTCATTCGACATTGTCCGACGCATGTGGTTGTCTTCAGTTAGACAGTTCACCGCGCCCCAACTCCCCTTCAAAAGAAGAGTTGCTCGTGGTCAAGCTAGGTGAAATGCGCAAACTACTAACCAAATAATAAAACCCACTTGCATAGTGTCACTGCCTGTACAGAGACGCTCAGAAGGATTACTTGTGTCTGTTGGCCCTATACAATTATTGCACGCTACATTTTGATTTTGTTTTTGCTACTCTGCACCATTACCAACGTTTTCTCAGCTAGAGCCTTACTGCTTGTTACGGCCGCCAGCTGGAACTGTCTTATACGCGTACCGTTCAATCGAACGCCTCGTGATCCCGCAAATCGTACGTTTCTCTGCCACAAACCCAACGATTGCCCGAAACGTCGAACAATATAAGAACACAAGGAACACCGATCAACAGCAGAATCACGTGTAATACGGTATCTGAAGTATACAATGATACAATAAATTTCATATACATACTTGACCGTGATCCTCAATAGGCGGACCGTACAACGGTGAACGAACAAGTTTTATTGCTCAACCGAGCGGTATCAAACGAAAATCGAAACTGTTATGTTTCACAGAAATAATAATTATTGGTACAGATAAACAAAGATCAGATTAAAGAGAGAAGAGAGAATACCACTCACAAGAATCTATTCATCGTCAAAATGTTGTTTTCATCATCCTTTACGGTGTTTCAGCCGCCGCAACACTGCTGTCACTACTTATTGTTAGGATTCGGCTTTCTTTTTCATAGCTTCGACACCAGAATCCCTAGTCTTTAACCCCTCTTGATGGAAAGGTTCCTATGGCATCCTTCTTGAGGGGCATGTGTGTGTTGATTTGGTGGCTTCAGACCGACAGTGCAACATGCACGAGAGTTGTTACCATCTTTGTTTTGCCTGTTCCGCATGTATGCTTCACATTATTGCAGGCTTTGGTTGCTTGGAGCATTTTGTTTGTTCATCCTTTTCCTTTGTAGCATAGATTCTACCAGTATCTTCGATATCCTGAGCACGCTTCCTCAGCTAGATTTTTCAGCTTTGTTTAACTCACTGCCACCTCCGATGAAGTAGCTACTTTAAACGGTGCGTGAGTTCAGTGCTACATCTTCACTTGCTAAGCTCTTTGCTTTCAAACTTTCTCTAGCTTAATCAGGCTAAACTTCCGGCATTTTTAAGGGAACAGTATGACTAACTGAACGTTCTTCTTGATGCCTACCGGGACATGGAGAAGCACGGGAAATTACAGTCTTGAAGTAATTCACGGGTTCAAGGCTGTTGCCCAAATATCCCGGGTCCTTGAAAGGTATCTGTGTTTTCTTTTGGTTAGAATTTCTTCTAGAACAGAGAGTACTGAAAAGGCATTAGTAGGGTTCGCCGCTCGAGGCGAGAAATAAAACGAAGACTTGCGAACTTTCATATAATAATAATAATAATAATATGTGTATATTTCACAGAGCCCGTGAGACATGCATAAGACATGATCAAATGATCAGAGCGAGCATGTGTACAATAACAGTGTAAGTACATAGGTAGACAATAAAAATGGTGGGGATCAGAACGAAAACATAGTGTGAAAGGAACACAAACTGGACAAGGTCACCGACGAATTTATGGAAGTTGGAGGATGCATTGAAAATGCATGTCACTAAAACTGGAAGTAATGGTAAAACTGGTCTCGGAAGGATTGGGCGTGCGACAACAGTGGGGGCAAATACGAAGAGGCGGTCTGTGGAACAAATGCTGCCTGATGGTAGAGGTATGAGAACAGGAATAGAAAGGAAGGAATACAGCCAGAATAATACATCGGTAAAAGAACGTGTTTCACTCGATACTGCAATACAGCTCGCTTCTGGGGGACAAGTTCATTTGTTCGGGGGCTTCAATCGATCAAGCAGTGATTTGGATTATTTAGATTAATTAGGCGTTGGTCGCTTTGAAGTAGGACTGACTACACACTAGACACCTAACCTTAAACCACCAAGTAAGTAAGGCAGGGGGCGTGGTCCTCAACCTGGTCCGGAACGCGGAAGCATGTAGTCAAAACGGTGGAAACAGCCATGCCCAACAACCATTGTGGGTGAGGACCCCAAGCCTTCGGCAGGCCCAAGAGAACGGAATCCGGAACAAAGAGGCGATATGCAGCAGTCCGGGGTAGTACCCAGCTGAAGAGAGAAGGGAGAAGGGGAAACGGAGAATGCGACGGAACAATAATAAAAATAATTGCACACCTAGCACGTTGTACTAAAATGATAGGGTACCGGAGTGAATATAAACGTCAGATTATAACCAGGAGTTGCAGCGCGGTAAAACGATAAAATGCTTATGAGAGTGCGCACCAGAGTTTGAATTCCACAGATCCAGCTTTGAAATTGAATCCGTGTACTCTTAAGAATTGGTTGCGGAAGTGGACACAGCTATGTGGTTAACTTATACCACGGAGGGAGCCGAGGGAATTGAGTGGGAATGATTCGAGGAATATCTTCCTTACTAGATATTAGGTACCAATACTTGTATAAGGACGTTTTAGTCAAAGTAGCACCGACACCATTTGAGCGGAAATGCTCAAACAGTATCTC